GTATTATCAGGAACCCTAACCCGACATATAATAATATTAACATATTCTCGTATTTTACTTCCAAACGATCGAGACCAGCCACAATACCTACGCCGAACTTCAGACTGGAACAGTGAATACTGACCCGCATTCAAGAGAGCCTAATTCGGGGAAAGGGGCAGAAAACTCGCATCTTTATCGACAGGGCGGGTTACATTAGACATCGAAAAAAACCTAGAAGTGTCAAGCACAACCGCGCGGGAGGCCGCGAGGAATACAGAGCGGACGGGTGGGCGGGCGCGCGGCGTGGCGGCAGGGGTCGGGCAGGGGCGGGCGCCCTCCGCGATGCGCACGAATCGCCTCATTACGCGCGGGTGGCGCGCCGCATTCATAGCGGCGTTTTCACGACTGCGGCACTGGGCCAGAATAGTTAACACTTACCGCTGCGCTGACGAGTCGCGCTGAACGCAATTTAGAACCTACACATATCCGGTTCGACGTAGCCGCAGCCCGCGCCGCCCAGGCCGCTGCACGCACCATAAAACCGTTCCCACACTCCATTTTACAGCTGCGTCTCGTTCTTGCAAACGCGCCGTCGAACTGGAGCGCCTCTTCATAGAGTTATGCCTCTGGCGCGCCGCACGCGAAACGAAACGGGGCGGGGCGAGGGTAGAGGCTGAGGCAGCAGCAAGGCGCACGCGAAGAAAGTACGATGCGCTTTCGACTCGGAAAACTCGCGTTTAGGACCGAAAATGTTTATAATGTTGAAAGTGAGCAGAGCAGGATTGGGCTTGATGAGCAGTGTACACTGCCGTAAAGTTGTCTGGACGCGGTGTCCGTCCGCACGCGACGGGAATGGTGGGACGATGCGCGTGGAAGATGGAGTGGACTTAAGAGGGCAGACGATGGAAGCAAGCTAGTCACCTCAGGACTACGAAAACAAAGTTTGCGAAAGCCACAAGGAATATCTTGGAAGGAACCATCAAAATGTGTTCGAACAAAGTAAAGCTGATGCTAAAACAAACGGGCGAGTTATTGCAGACAGAAGAAGACCCTATTTAAACGCTTCTTATTGACGGACTAGTCCGGAATTTTAGCCAACGCGAGTATATGCGTCACAGGCAAACTGTAAACCTGGTCCAAGAGGAACAAGACGGTGCATAGACGTAGGCAAAGAGTATGACACTCGAACCTGTAGAATGAGAAGTACTGTTCATTATATTATCGCCACTAACGAGGATAATGGCGAATCGGAAAATCAAAATTAACGTTCCGAAAGCACGAATTGACACAGTGTACAAGAAAATCGACACACCAAAGAAAACGTTTATTTAGCGAAGACATATATTTAGAAAACGATATATTTTCACAACAAAAATTCATAAAGATACTACAAAACAGCCCAAATATAGAGTAAAATTTTCTTGCGAAGATAAAACAGTTTTCTTTCAAATGATACTTTTTTGAGATATCACTTTTTGTGTGGACAGACGATGTAAATTATCTGGTGATCGGTTCACCACCCTATTAAATCCGAAATAAGCACGACAAAACCGTCAAAGGTTAATGGAAAATAACGCAAAGTATTAACGTGGCGTAGGAAGTACAGCCGAAGCCGAGTTGCTTATTGTAATTGTTAACGACTCTAGCCCCAGCAGTGGGCCGCCCGTCATC